CGCGCGCTCTCAGCGACCAAGTGGAAGTGCTCTTTTCTTGCGCCCCAGTGGCCTAATGGATAAGGCATTGGCCTCCTGAGCGGGGGATGGTAGGTTCGAGTCCCAGCTGGGGTGCTGCGCTTCCTGCCTACTGGGCTCCTTTTGCGCCTTGCTTGTGCCCAGTCCACTGCGGAGCACTTGCCGCCTGAGGCCCCCGAGTCTGCCATCAAAGTGTCTTTTATCCCTGGAGCCTAGTCTTGGTCTTGGGCTCCGGGACCGCCTCGCCAGCCGCAGCGGGGGCGTCCTGGGAACACTGTGCGTCCTAGGGATTTCACTGGAGCCGGGACCCATTCTTTACCTGGGAGCTATGCAAAAACTGTGCGGCGAACCTACTCAGCCATGTTTTGCTCCGCACGAGCGGTTTTCCAGGGGGATGTGCCAGATGCTCTCCCCAGACCCCGGGAACCTCCTCCAACGTGCGATGTGAATGGAGCGAGTCCCAAAGTGGGAGTAACCCTGAAAAAGGAGAACTACCCCAGGTGGGACTCGAACCCACAATCCCTGGCTTAGGAGGCCAGTGCCTTATCCATTAGGCCACTGGGGCTCGTGGCGCGTTCCTCCCAACCCTGTTCCTTTAATGAGTAGTGCAACCCGGTCTCGGATGGATGGTCGGACCCGCAAAACGCTCGGCTGTGGGTACTACGCCCATCGCCGCAGTACCAAGCGCCTGGCGGGCGGGGAACCCACCACGCTCACAGCGGGGGCCCAGCGCCAGCTCCCGCCCTGCCCCTCGCACCGAGGAGCCCGGTGTCCTCTGGAGGATGCCAGGCTCCGCACCACGGATGCAGGCGCTTTCTGCCTTCCACCCTGCGGCTTTTTATCCACCTCCAAGAACCAGGAAGAGAGCCAAGAATTTTTGGAAAAGGTAATATAGAAAGTGGAGAACAAATAAATAGCCAACCACGAATGGTTGAAACTTTAACACTGAAAATCCTTCCTGTCATAAGAGAATGCACAAATCCAGCTCTAAAAATGAAAGTATATATACATTTCACTGTAATATTTCTTTTTTAAAATTTAGAGTTTAATATTCCTGTACCTTAGGCATATATTGTTTACTTGTATAAAAATAAACACATTTTGAAAGGGTTGAACGTTTAAACTTCGCCATTGAAATCCACACACGTCTGAAAGATGTAAAAGCAGAAGCTGCAGCGAGGACATCGTCCAGATCCCATTGTGCCTGGCATGTGACCTCGAAGGGTAAAGGGGACTTAGGCAGATTCCTCTTTGTTTCTCTCCCCACAGGTGGTCCCCCCCACCCCCGCAATGGCAGCAAGAAGGGAGGATTTAGCTGTTGCTCCTCTACGTTAGTGGCTGTCCGGTCGGGCCACACACGCAGTCACTACAGGTCTCAGGTGGCAGCGATGAGCTTGTTCCATGTTTGAGCTCAGACATCAAACACAGAGCATCAAGCCCCGGGAGGCTCCTGTATCTCCCCCAGTCGACAGCCACCTCCCCGGTGTGGACGCTTCACTACTTTTATCCCCAGAGTGGTTTTGTCTGATTCTCACTAAGTGGGACCATAGCCTTTTGTAAAGTCTGCCCTCTTTCCCTCGTCATTATGTCTTTGAGATTCCCCAGGGTTCATTCTTTTTTCTTTGTTTAATAGGGTGGGCTCCACTCTCTGTTCCCTGCCCCTTTCTTTTCATCTGCCTGTGTGTCTAGGTGCCTTTCCAGCGCCTTCACCTGCCACCAGTGTCTTCCGAGGGGCTGCAGGGTCAAACCGCAGGGACTCTGCCTCTGTTTTCCCTCTGCCACCAGCGTAGTGTTTCCCGTGGTTTTCCCTTGCCTCGCTGCTGAATTCTCCTAAGCATGCCTAAGACTGGGCTTGTGTGCTGGTGCTGGGGGGGCAGATGGCTCTCCTAGTGCACCTTGCCTCTCCTTCCAGGGCTCTTTTCCCCCTCTGGGGCTCACACCTCTCCCCAGGCCCACACAGTAAACTCCTGCAGCAGAGCTGATGAAGCCAGCCAATCCCAAGCCTTCCACTCCTTAGTAAATTCGCCTAGTGCACAGCTTCCTCCAGTCACACACGGGCCAAATGTTTGTCGCCATAATCCTTCAGTCTCTTGAATTTTCTCTTCATTCCTGTTGCCACGGCCCCAGTTCCAGGATGGGTCCCTCCCTGCTCACTTGGGTCAGCTGGCCAGTCTTGTTCACTTCCCTTTAGTCTTTCCTCATCTTGTCATGAGCAGGCAAGTCAACCCTGACAGCCTCTGTAAGAGTAAAATCTAAATGTCTTGGCATGGTGGCACAGGCCTGTAATCCCAATACTTGAGAGGCCGAGGCAGGAGGATCCCTGTGTGTTCAAGGCTGGCCTGAACTACATAGCTAGACCTTGTGTCACCTCCCCCTCCCAAAAAAGGTAGCTCCTGCATTTAAATCTAGCTCCTTCTAGACGAAGTGGCTCAGTACTAGCCACAGGAAAGCCTAGGAGTTGCCCCAACTGTACCAGCCTTGCTCTTAGACCCTCCGGTGCCTCCAAGTGACATAACTTTGCCTTGCTAGGCTGGCCAGATCCTCCCCTCCTTGCGACCCACTGCAAGAAAGTCAAGTACAACTTTGACCCTCTATCCAGAACTAGTCATCCCTTTGTCTCCTGCAGTCTTGTGGTGTCATTTACTACACTTTAGGTCGAGTTCCTGTATCAGGAACCTGTTTTTTCTTCTCAGCCTTTATCATTACTCGATGGAATGTCAGTTCTCTCCAAGAATGGGCTTGGTCTAGCTCAGTGTCAAGTTCTCACTTCATTACCCAGTGCCTGCCATTCAGTGACTGTTGCCTGAATTACTAGATGAACTAATGCATGGTATATTTCCTGCCTACAAGTGTTGGCCTCCTCCAAGACTCTGAGTCCCTAAAGACAGGAAGCCTGTCTTCCATATCTGTTTTGCCAAAGCCACTTAAAAATGACTTCTCCCCTTGTCTAGACTCCAACGAATGATAAGGCCCCTAACTCCAGGGAACTTACTACTACATTTCATTATCTGGCATTTGGACACCATGCTGTAATTATCAAATAAAAAAAACTAGATAAAAACAAGAAGTTCACCTATACCGGAGTAACCTACTAAAGTTACGCTAGCCTGAGTGCTTGTCCCCACACCCAAAGGACTACAAAATTGCTTTCCTGAGCCAGACATAAAGGCACATGTCTGTAATCCCAGCACTCTGAGAGGTTGAAACAGAAAGATTATAAATTTGAGCCGAGTTTGGGCAATTTAGTGACTTAGGGAGACTGTGCTAGTCAACTGTGACATCAGCGTGAGTAAGAAAAGCCCAGTGGGTTAGTATCTTTCTGGGTGTGGCTGAACGGATTTCCTGAAGACAGAAGAACCATCCTGGGTGTGAGTGGCACCAACCAGTAGGCTCATAGCTTGAATGGAACAGAAAGGGGAAGGAAGAAGGAAGGCTCGCTTCAGTGTCTTTGGAGGAGCTCTGGTCTTTACCACCACCTTGGGCAGCATATCCTGGCTTCCAGCACAGACTTTTTAGCCTTCCATTGCAGACCCTTGGGCCTCCTGATTTGGACACCCATGGTACCCTACAGTGAGCTCCAGGCCTTCGACCAGGTCCTTTGGATCTCCAGCATGCAGACGGCTCTTTCGCACTCTTCCACACCTGATTCTGCAGGCAACCATTATAAGCCTACCTTGTAAATCCTTATATATTTATATGTATATTGCATATTAAATGTTTCTCTAGTGAGCACTGACTGATACAGAGACTCTGTCTCCCAAGGGGTGGGGGCTGGGAATGTAGCACATTGTGAAGCTTGGGGCTCAATCCCCATCAAAAACACAAAACAATGTAACCTCAAAACCCTGCGCCAGCTCACTCTTCCTACCTCTCTGGCCACTGCCTGGTGTATACTTAAGACAATTCTCCTTCCTGCTCAAATCCTCAACAGCCCATTATCTACATTTTGTAAAATCCAAACCCCATCTTTTAATCCAAGGCCCGTCTACCTCCCACAAGTCTGTTCCACTCAGTGCCAGGGATTTTATCATCTCCCATGTTCCAGCCTCGTCTTCTACGTTCACACTGCTTAACATCCCATACCTTGACTGACACCGTGGTTTGAGGGTGGGAGGCTGGCGGAGGGTAGCGGAGTCTCCAATGACGCTTCTGCCCTGTTGGGTCTGAGGCTGCTGCTGTAGGCACCCAGTGAGGGAGCAAGCGGGCAAGAGGAGAGGGGACAGTGTCGCGGGATCTGCCTCTCTGCGAGCGGCGCGGCGCCACGAGCCAGGGCACTCCTTACATTGGCAGAAAGATCAGCCTCATTTCTAAGGTGAAGATCCACTAGGAGGGCATCCTCTACACATCATTGACACCCAGAACTCCACTTATCCCTCGCCAAAGGGTAAGATGAGCCATGGCTTTCTATATCAGAAGTAGAGAAAACAAGAGGGAAAGAAATAAGAAGAGTGAAGAAATCTAGAATCATCTGTGCATGATAACATAGCAAGTTTTTATAGCCACAGTAGTAACAGCTGTAACTGCAAATCGTTAACGAATTTCATTAACTCTGTGCTAGCGTGAGAAGACGCCTACCAGAACAATTTGGCTTGTTTTCTCATGATGATGTAAAATAATACTTTAGCTGTATTAAAATATATCACTACTGTAAGTTTTTAAATGAAGAAAGCATGAATTGGTCTGTGAAGTTAAAAAAAAACCCAACAACCTACCTTTCCAAGGCTGTTAAGGCTTGTATATAGATGTCCCCCCAAAGCCTCATGTGGTAATAGGTGGGGCTTTCAGCTGAGATTGGGCGTGTTCAGGGTAGTATGGCCTTAGAACAGGTGGGGCTTTTCAGAGGTGGCTGGATCTAGGGTGTGTGATGCTGGGATTAAGGGTGTGACTACTAAATTAGTTTACTGATTGGTTTAGCAATTGGGTATGGGTAATGTGAAAGTACACCCTGGATGTGTGTGGCACCATGCAAAAAGAGGGTTAAC